GCTGGACATATAAGAAAATTTTATTCAACATTCGTTGAAACAAGGTCACTAATCGCGTTTCAACGAATTTTTATATGATTTCATAATGTGTAACAACGTTTTTAAAAATTCGTTATATCAAAAATTTAATTATACTTCGTTGAAACAAGAGTGGTTACTATTGCAAATCACGTGACTACACTCTACCTTTAAAAAATATACCATGTATACAAAATTTGCACCCTATATTTTTGTGCGGTGCACAGAAAACAAAGACCCAAAGTAATAAATGAAAATAACATTATTTTAATTCTTTGAATCTTTGCAAAGGATTTTACAAGGTAAGTGGCATTAGACTCTATTACTATATATAACAGTATAAAATAACTTGAGGATTTATATAGACTGACTAAATGAGGATGGTAGTGCTTATCCATCTATTTTGTGAATTTGAATCTTTTCTATCAGTGGTGCATACATGGTATTAGCCATTAGGTCTTAGTGTTAATATTAATATATTTATTGTTATAAATCTAAAAAATTAGTAATTTTGGCATAATTTTAAATGCAATTTTTTCTTGTGTATCTCAACAAATTTTATATGCGTAGTAACAAATGTAACAAATTTTATTGTTATTAACTTTATTTATTAGAAAAGCCTACAATGCATCGATTTATTATTTATTAATGTCATCGTACCTCGGCCATGGAACCATTCGTATTTGAAATTTTGTCTTTTTATTTTTTGGGTAAATTGTGTATAATTGTTTTATTTTTCAATCTTGAAGGATTATATAATAAATATTTTTTAAAAAATTAAACCATGCATACAAAATTTTCACCTCTACCATCTCCTTCATCAATCTTAAAATAATTTAATATTGTCATTTTTGTTACTGGTGGATTGTATGGTGAACACATTCCAAAAAGTGCAACCAAGTTTTGTGGTACATGAACTGAGACACTAAGCTTTTAAGACTAGAAATTATCATTAAATATTCATTATGCAATAGATATAATGTCATTTTATTTATACTGCTACAATGACATGTTTTTTTTTTTACTAGTTTTCTATTAGGACGCTCTTTACTTTCTGCACTACTGTTTAAGACAGTAAATGCTATTATGTAATGAATCGTAATATATAAGGAAGAAAGGGAGGGAGTTGGTACTATGCGTGACAATCTTTTTATAAATACTTTATTACTCGATTTAGGATAATAATATTTTGAAACTATAAAATAATAATAATAATAGGACTTCGGATAATTATAATGAATTTTGGGACCAAAAAGGAAACGATATTACTATTTTTAGTAAGATATTCTAGGTACTTTTATATGATGTCTTGCCTCAATTATCCGAGGTCCTATAATGTTACTATATAGTACGATAATATAACCATAATAACATACGGTTAAAATAAATAAAATTGTCTAGAATTTTAAACAAAAGCTTATTATTATTATTATAATTAAAAATAATTAAAATGTAAAATAAAATTAATGATTTGTAAAATTAAAATTTATGGCTTTTAAATGATTCTTGAAAATAAAACTTATGACTTGGACAATAGGAATTTTTTTCTTATATAAAGAGAAGGAAATATCCACCTTTGCTTATAAGAAAATTTTAACAGTTTAAAAAAAAAATAACCATACTTTTAATAATAAAGTTAAAAAAATATGCACCCACAAAAACAAATCAGAAGAAAATTCAAACTAAAAGTAATTTTATTATTTTATTACTTAAATGTTGTTAGTAATACAATTTTTATATAACTTATATCACGTGATTTTGTTATAAAATCCAAATTTCTTGTTTTTACAGATATTTCGATTTAGCGGATAAATTTCTTGGGCCAAAATTATCCGTTAAATCGATATCCACTGTGTATATCGAGCGTCGACTGTGTTAAATGAAAGCTTAGGACTTATTATTCTAATAGCTTATATCTTGGATCGAGGTTTATTTGACGAATATGAAAGAGGTGGAATTTTGATTTTGCTGAGAGATGAATACATTGCTTGTTATTAGTCCAGTCCAATTCCGAGAAATGACCAATCATATTTCTGCATATAAAATTTCTGTCAGATCTCGCTCTGACTTTCAACGTCTCCTATAAACAGCTCACATCACTCACTGTCTTCGCTTGTGTATTCAGAGGTAGTTTTGGCAACTATTAAAGTTAATTATGGCGTTACAGATACAGCAACGATCATTTATTAAGAAAGACAATTATGACGAACAACTATAGTTGTGAATAGCAAAAATGCCTTTTCTTTTAGTAATACTAAATAATGTTCATTATGGCAATAATTATTTTCAATTCGTTAATATTTATACAACTACCCACCCATCCATCCATCCCTCTAATATTAGAGTGGTAGCAATGATTGACCTATTAAAAATTATAATCAAACACTAGTGCAAAAAGAAACCTTTAAAGATAAAACATGGCCAATTACCATTAGATCAAAAGGTCGGAGGTGTTCAGTGTATCATTAATCTACCTCGGTGAATTCTATCAAGCCCGTTTGAAATTAGGGTTGACAATAAATACCCCATATTTTCAATGACTTGATTCGGCCAGGAGTGAGAGCCTTTCATAACCAATGTGGGAATAGGCGGCGGAATCCAACCCTTGATTTATGTGAAACAATCATTTTGTTTTAATCCTGAATTTAAAAGATGGAGCAAGACAAGTGTTGACTTGATCACATTTCCGACTTGTTTCATAAAACTCACAAGTGTCTTTGGTGCAAACTGATCATCTACACTGAAGAATATTCTGGTAAAACATGTGAATGTTGTGGATTTATCGGACAAAATCATCGTCCCAAAGACCTTTTGACAGAGGTATAAACAGAGTCCGTAATATACATACTTAAAAGTATTACAAAAATTGATTTACGACGTTGGGGCTTGCAATTGGCGCTATGATCGGTTCAAAAGTAGAAAGTTAAATTTTTATGTAATAAAAAATTTGTGTGATGATATACACAATATATTTTCATGTATTACAACAAATAATAATAATATAAATAAAAGTAATTCTTTATTGAGAAAAATTCGGTTTTAATTAATTAACCTTTTTAAATAAACAAATAAAATTCCTATCTTAATTAATTATAGTGTCACATTAGAACTTTCCTTTTTTACGCTTCCCAACCTATAAATAAATAAATTATCCATTTTTTTTTAAAAATTTTTTTTTTTAATTAATTCTCTTTCATTTCCTCCTTCCCCTTAATATAAAAACTTTTCATTAAACAATCTTTTTTCCATTCTCTCATCTTCTCTTCTACCTTTTTTCTTTCACACACACACACACACACACACTCTCTCTCTCTCAATAGACATATTATTACACACATATCTTTCTACACTCTTCTCTCATCCTCCCAATATCATCGTCAACAAACGTAATAATTAAAACTTTTGAAAAGTTTTTTATTAACATATACACACGCGCGCGCACACCTTTCCTAAAATAAAATTACTCGAAAATTTCCAAAAATTTATTATTTTCGAAAAAATGGCATTTAAATACTCCGTTCTTGCATTGTTCATCGCTTGTTTAATTGGTAACTTTTTGAATTTTCAAATTAATTAATTTTTCTTCTATAATACTAATAAATTTTTTTATCATCTTCGTCATCTTCATTATTATAATATAATATAATATTAGCCTTATCACAAGCAGTTCCTATGAAAGATGTATCAAGCACTTCAATTGAAATCTCGAACACTTATTTAACACCATCATCTGAAAGATTTGCTGTAGCTGTGCAACGTCTTGATGAACTTATAGATGATGACGGAAAACTTCTGGCCGAAAGAATTTCTGCCGTTTTGATGACATTTGATATCGAAGAAGGCCAAATTTTAGTAAATAAAGTACCAATTGAATTAGGAATTTCAAATATCCAAGTAAGTACTAATTCCTAAATTTCAATTATTTATCTCTCCAACTTATATTTAACTTATTTCTAACTCTAATTATATATATATACACACACACATATCTTTTTTCTGATTATGTTTCTTTAGGTACTTGAAGCTCAAATAATTCCAGCCGACGTTAAACCTGAAGATTTCTTAAAATATCAAGATAATTTTGATATTGGGCTTGTGACAGTAGAAATCGAATCAAGTGTTGAGTCATTCACAACTGATGTGGAAAATATTATTGGTTATCGTGTGAGAATAAATATTCGTATCTTGGAAATTGATGGTGAAAATGTTGTTCAAACTGAAGCAACTGAAAAAATTATTGAGTATAAAGCTATCGATGCAATTGACGGCGATAAAGATGATATCACAACCCCAATATATGCTGACAATCAAGAAACTGCCACAACGGCCAATGACAATATTAACAGCAGCAATAATAGCATCAACAATTCAGTCAATACCAATTCATACTTATTCAACTATGACACTCTAAATAATCGTATTAGACACTGGTGGCGTTGTTCTCCAAAAATTGTTCGTATCGTCATCACTTCACTCGTCCTTACATTATCATTTGGAATATTTTTCATGGCTGTTCCTGCTATTATTCAAGGGTTCATTAGGCTCTTACCAAAGGATTCATCATTGTATCAACCAATAAGTCTCGGTAACGATGATGATAATGATGATTCCAGTGATGGATCAGAAAAAGTGATATTCGTAGTTGATGATGAAAAATTACCTTTGATGTTAGAGCAAGAAAAAATTTAAGCATCACAACAAAAAAAAATAGATGTATAAATCTATAAATGTATAAATATATAAAAAAAAATCAACATATTATTATTATGTACATTAACAAATTAACTTATTAAATCAATTTCCTTAATTGTTTGTCATTCACGCATTCACATTCACACAATATATAAACACATTCACACTTTATTTTTACCACACATCACTTCCGTTGTTTCTTTACTTTTACGAAATGTCTTTTCTCCTTTTTTGACATATATAAATGTTGGGTGGCTTTGGTTCTCTTAGATTATTAAATAAAAGGCTCAAAATAAAATTTTTTATTATATATAATAAAAGGTTCATTATAGTTCATTATATATATAAAAGATAACTTTTATTGTTATTTCTATAGATAAAAAAGATATAAAAAAATTCGAGCTCTTTTTTTATTATTATAATAATAACTGTAAATTTTATTATTAAAAATTATTAACTGTGTTGTTGTTGTTGTTGTTGCCAAACTTCATCAACTCTCTCGTTATGTACTGCAAAGGCAGGTGTAACCCAAGAACCACAAGAACATTGCATTCCTATTAAAACAACAACAAAACAACAATCAAAAAAAAAAAACTTGCTTGGAACACAAATCAAAATAATTTCTATAATTATACTTACCAGACCAATTATAATTTCCAAGTTTCGAGTTACATTTTGGGCATTTGATTTTTCCCAATAATTCACTCTCGTGACTTGTTTCGTCGTCATCAGATGATGATGATGATGATGATGATGATTTATCAAATATCCAAGTCTTTGGTTCTATAAAATATGAAGAACATTGTTTTTTAATATCTTCTGATGATTTACCACGTTTCTTATATGAAAAAGCTATTTGCCCCGGCCCTATTTCATGAGAAATTATATCTTCACTAGATATAATAATACGCCTTTTATACATGTGTGCGTATATATAGATAAGTATGGAAATTTTGGTTTCACTTTGATGAATGTTAAAACTTTTTTTTTACCTGCATTTTTTACACTTTAATTCTTTTAATGTAGTTTTAGAACTATCAACAGTAGTCACATCCTCGTTTATTACGTTGATTTCTTTTGAACTTTCTTGATTTATATATTCCTTAGGAAGTGGAAAATGATCAATCTGATTTTCCGTCATAATATTAATATTAATATTAATATTATTAATTATTTACGTCAATCAATTTTGTTACACGATCTATAAAAAATTCTCACTGCAAAAAAAAATGTCAATTTCTAATGTTCCTTTATTTGTTTCGCTTAAACGAAACCACAGTCTTATAAACGCAAAATTTGAAGGCTATAAATTAAAACTTTTCGACGATACAGAACATTTAAAATTTTATAAATTACCTCAACCTGGAGTGTCAATATCAAAAATTCCTTCAAATAGTAAACTATCATATAAAGAAATTCAAAATAGAATACATTTTAATCATTTATTTTATGGTTTTGGAATAAATGATGACAAAGCAACTTGTTTTTATTTCGATTTAGAAAATCGAATAATTCTAATTGAACACGATCAAGTACTGTTATTGTTATTATCATTTTAATAGTGAAAAAAATATTTAATAATTTTTTGTAAAAGTAATTATGATATATAAAATATATTGTTTTTTTGATAGGCAACAAATTCTTTGATAACACACAATCTTTTACAAATTCCAAAATCTACTAAAGTAGCAAATAATCTTGTTACCGAATATCCTTCATTGATATCCATTTCATCAAGTCTACTATTAGTAACCAACGGATCAGGATTGCTGTGTTTGGTTAGGGTTAAAAAAAACGAGGATAATAAATTTTTTGGAGAAATTTTACATATCACTGAATTTTTTGGCTATTTAGATGCAGAATCTGATACATTAAATAAAAATGTTCCATTTGTTTTTCTTGATGGAAAAATTATATATGATGATGAAAAAGGCAAATCAGATGATGCACACATTCTCTTTATTATTTATAACACAGTTAAACATCATAATCTAAACAGAATGATTCCTTCAAAAGAAGAAACAACGAAAACATTATTTGATATTTCTTTGTTAAAGATGTCATTAAATAAACCATATGAGACCGAGAAACTTCATGTCATTCGTGGAACTTCAATCCCTTTGTATTGTTTTATTGATTATAGAGGATCTGGATATGTGATATGCAGCGATTCAGATTATGTAGTTTTAGGAAATTCACGGTCTGATCAAGATGAAAAGATACACATTGAACAATCTACGGAACATGATGAAAATGAAAACGAAAATGAAAATATATCACCAAGTAATAAAGAAGAAAAATTGGCATCATATATTTGGACGCAGACATCTACAGACATTACTGTCTGTTTCCAATTACCTGTGGGTACGCCGAAAACCGCGATCCACTGTAACTTTTCAAAAACACATCTTTCTCTTACAATCAAAACCGAAGACGATGCATTTGACACCACTAACACCAATTTAAGGCCTCGACCACCTTTGCCATGTTATGCGTTCTCGCAATTTTTTGATAATATTGATCCGGATGCTTCTTTATGGACCATTGAACCAAACATTGGTTTATTGACTTTACACATTGAGAAGGCCAATCATAAAACGCGTTGGTCGCATGTTTTTCATAACGATGATGGAGTATTTGAAACTCTCGATCCAAATGAGTTTGCTGAATTTCGTGAAAGTTTAGAAAAATACACAACAGATTTGCTTGCAAGCTCTTCTAGTAATGAGACAGTTCGTTTTGAAACCACCAAACCACTTCAACATCCTATTGGTCATGAAATGGAAGAATCTATTGATTATGAAGGACAAGCAGTGACTTTTATGTGGATATCCAAGGAAGGGCTAATAGGAGCAAAATCATCATCTAGTGGACAAGAATTTATATGTAAACAATTTGATAATGCTAAAACAAAAAATTCTAAAACCAAACCTTATCCTTCTGTGTGTTTAAAATCTGATGTTGATGGCATTGTTTATTCAATTGAACATTCAGAAAATATACATGTATCGTCGCCATTAATCATGACACACTTTGCAACATTCAATGCCTTCGCATTTGTTCAGGCATCCAAACGTGAAAAACGTTTTGTATTTCACGATCCTTCCAATAGATTTGTAATGATTTTTGAAGGAAATCGTCATGCATATATCTATTCACACCATGAAGGAAAAGATAAACATGGTTCACAATATATTGTAGATTTCAGAGAAAAATTACATGGTAGTTTTGATATAATTGGAGTCCAGATGATAGATGAAAAGAATGCCATTGTTTTAGTTCTTACTACTGGTCATATAATTGTATTAAAAGTATTATAATTCATATTATTGTTTTTATTATTTCAATTTTTATTGTCGCTCGTTCTTTTACAATTTAATTATTAGATCATTTGTAACAAGTATATATGTGAGATGAAATTTTTTAGTGAACGACATCGATCATATTTATTCTCCAATACTGATATGAAAGCTTAAATCTCCTCAGTTTTGGTAACTTGTTTTACACAAAAATATTAAATAATCAGTCAACTTTTTTCATAATCAACAAAGAAAAGCTACTTGAAGTGAAAATGTAAAGCCATTCTTAGAAACGAACAGCCGTAGATTTACTTAGAGGGCTCCATTCAGTATGAAAAAGTATTCATTAAAAAGCTTTAATGGTGAAATTGTTCGAATTTATTATAAAAAAATGTGCTACTTTAAAAACTAATGGATTTGCGCAATTGGACTTTTCAGATCCAAACATAATGATAAACTTATAAATTAATCACTTCTTGCATGTTGGCGCACGATATATATATAATTGAACCTATTATATAGTGAGTGAATCGTATTATATAAAGATTTTCCATTTTGTAAAAAAAAATTGATAATTGGTCTTCTTTCAACAACGTAAATCGATAGGTCTTGATGAGAGCCATTGAACTATGTTTCATCTTATATTTCTTTTTGAAAATAGTCAAGCAAAGTTGTCCCATTTCTAAATAATCAAACAAATTATTTTTAAAGGATAATAAATTAATGAATATATCATTGTTTAGATTATCACAATGATTAGTTAATTACCTGTAATTATGATTTGATCTGTTTTTGCTATATTGGTTGTTATTGTTATTACGAATGCTTTTTTTGGTTTTATTCTTTAACTTCGAACAACTTTTAAAATGTTTTCTCTTAAAAACCATAACAAGATCCCGAAATTTTAAGTCGCACCAAGGACAAATCCAATCTTTTCTCAAATTTTTGATTTCAGAATTTTGATCAGAAATTGGGATTATGTCTGTAAATTTATTTCCAATTGAATTATTATTTTGATCTGTTTCATGAGCATCATCAGTCTTAACTTCAAGATTATCAAGTGCACGAATACTACCGCTTTCTATATTATGTTCCGGACTTGCCACTGATTCTACTATAATTTTAGAGGTATCTTGGCCAACTTCAAATATTTCAAGCATTAGAATTCCATTATCCTCAACTTCAAAAAAATTTTCCGTAGCGAAATACTGTTCATGATCGTCAAGTTTGTCTCTGACAAGCATGTTTTTGTTTGGCTCATCGTTTTCTTTATCACCAAATGTAGATGAATGCTAAAAAACATTATTAATTAACCAAATTTATATTTAGTGTATTGGATTTGTTCTGTGATAAATTTTTAAAATTATCTTACACTCTTAACACTGTCTTGAAAAGAAGCAACATTAGAAGATATGGTGTCGGTGATAGATTTAGGCACGGATGTAGATGTAAATAAAGGTATGTTAAGGGGCACATATCTTGTTAGATATGAATTTTTTGGTGTTACAAGGTCATTATCCGATAATTTAAACATTGATTTTGGTGACGATATTGGAGATGTTGAACACGAGAAAGATGTTGTTGGAAAAGTGTTTTTCAAATTTATATTACTTGATGGATTATTTTCTGACAATGCAAAATACTAAACAAAAAAAGAGGTTAAATATTTTTGTCATCCTTTTGGTTATTAATGTATGAGTAATATTTGCACAAGTCTACATGTCTTACTTTTTTTATATCATAAAATTTTTCTTCCAATCTGGATTGATCTTTAATTTTTGCATTAGGAGTTAATTGTCTACGAGATCTTACTATAACTCCTTGTTGATTATCTACAGTTCGTGGATTAGATAAACTGTCCTGATTTGGTTCGTCAGTGTTACAATTATAAGTGGATACGTGAATTGATGACAATGATGACGAATTATGGCTTGATTTGGAATTAAAATTAGTAAATTGCCTTTTGGACCTATCTCTATCAAAATCACTAGTTGCAATAAAACACTACAAAGTTGTATAGAATTGGTTATTCAAACAAATATTAACAATTATATGTACGACTTAATAAATTAATCAATAAATTTACTCTTTTTATCCCATTAATTTCTGCAAAATCGCGACTTCTCAAATCTGACAATCCAACACCCAAATTTCGAAGATTAACATCCCCTAGACTCTCAAGTAACTAATTTTCATTAAAAAAGAAAAAATTTTTTCATATTTATAGAAAATATGGCCAATAATCAAAAAAATTATTTCATTAAAAGATTTAATTATACCTTTCTAGAATAATTGAAAATATCTTCTGCGGTACTTATGTAGGTTGGTAATTTTTTATTTTTTGTATGAGATACAAAATTTGTTTCTTTATATTTAAGAATAACAATACGTCCCTATTAATGATAATGTTATTGAAGGTATATATAGAAAAAGGTTTTGGTATAATAAAAATTTTTAAATGATCACCTCTAGATTTTCTGTTGCTAAATCGTACGCCAAGTTACTTGAAAAGGTTTTAAGATATTTGATTAAGGCATTCTTGTCATTACAATCTTTAAAAGTTCTAGAAAAACTCATACTTTTACGTACAAATTTTCTTTTGAAAAATCATAAATTAAATTATCACAATCATAAATTAAACCAAATTAATTAGTTAAATAAATGGATATGATTAATTACTCTCCAACATTTACTGGTCCAATTCCAAGAGCCACTCTTATCAGGAAATTAAAAGAAACTTGAGGAAGTAACTTGTATAAATAAACTCTTTTTACCAAAATGTCATTACATTTGTAAACCTCAAGTGCATTTAATATCTTTCCAGTTACCCGACCTATTCCCTTTATTTTGCGGATCTCAAGACTTTTGACAAATTCTAAAATTTCTTCTTCTAGTAAATTAGAAAGATCATATTGACCGTTGGGTTTGTTGATGTCCGAACAAACCTAAATTAACAGAACAATTATAAACAAAACAAAATTATAATTTATTATTATGATAATAAAACAATATAATATAATAATTATAATCAATTACTTTTGCCAGCAGCAAATTTGGTCCAATTCCAGCACTTGCAGTTAGTCCAGTTTCATTTTTAATTTCAGATCTTATTCGTTGTGCCAGTTGATCGGGTGTTATCGTTGTATTGTCTAAATAGTCTGTTATATCTAGATATGCCTCATCAAGGCCCACGGATCTGAGATTTGGATCGTATGATTTTAAAATTTTATGGATTTTACTAGATGCTTCGCGATATTTAACAAAATTCAAAGGTACTATAACTAGCGTTGGACAAAGGCGTTTTGCTATAAAACCAGGCATTGCACTCCTAACTCCATACTAAAAGTATTATTTAAACAAACAAAAACTTATTTTTTAATTCGTTTAATTAAATTATTAAAACATTTTCTTACCTTTCTAGCAACATAATTAGCTGTACATAACATTGATATATCACCAACAGCCATTGGAATATCCTTGAGTGATGGATTATCTCTCATCTCTACCGATGCATAGAATGCATCCATATCAATGTGCATGATAACACGAGAATAATTTCTTTTCAATGCAAGATTTTCCAAAATTTTATCTACTTTGACTTGATCATTACTTAAATCTTGACTTTTGAGAAATGTATAAGAATCCAGAATTCCTTCGATCTTTTTATTTACAAGTTCATCTTTTCTCATTTCATTTTTGTAAAATTCTGAATCCTAATTGTTATTATATGTATTTAAAATACTGGGATATAAAAAGATTTATTTTCAAAAGTTTTTATCTTGGCTAGTTAGTTACCTTTGATGACTCGTATATAACTTTTGCAACTTTCTCTTGAATACCATTGCTAATACCTGCTTTCGTTGCGGACAAATTTCCAATTCTCGCTGCAGCAGAATAAATATTAGCGTCAACAGCCATTTTATCTTTAGTTTCAACATAGATTTCAGTATCAAGGATGTCGACATTTGAATGATCATAAACAGCAACATTGGGACTTGGAAAATCGAGATTTGGAACGTTATAATTATAAAAACCAGAGCTTGCATTATTAAGATTATAAATATAAAGATTGTTAACGTCTGAATTACGGTTATCACAGTTAGAAATATCGAGATCGAGAGTTTTTGAATTTGGTTCCATAGTAACTTGAATTAGATGATCTGCTTATCTCTGTTGAAAATGATCAACTTCCGACCTATATGATTCGAAGAAAAATGTGGACCGCCTCACCATTATTATTATTTAATAATTCATTGTTTATTTATCTCGTATAATGTCGTGTTAGTTAACTTTATTTACGTAGAAAAGTGCTATGTCGCATTTAAAAGGTTAAATAGTAATTAGAGTGCAAGATCGCAACTAAATTAATTGAATTCAACATACTTGTAAAATAACTTTGAAATAAGTTAATAAATTAGTGACCACTAAACAAAAATTATTCGCCAATAAAACTGATTCGTTAGTAATAGCCAATTAATTCATTCTGATCCACATAATCATAAATTTACATTTGTTATCATCAACTAATACGCTCTCCGTAATTAGGAATGGTATATAACATGTTATAAAAGATTTGAGGGTATATACCATATTTATACCAGTTATATACCATGGCATATACCGGGTATAAATGGTATAGAGCACTTTCTCATGTCCCTCATTTAAAAATAAATTACAATGTGATATTAATGTTTTAATTCCCAACAATGTATTAATTATTATTGTGGTTTGCCATAATTTTTTTTTACAAAATTCTCTTGTCGCGAAAGGTAAATATTATAAAACTATTAATTTTAATATTTTTTAATTCAGTTTTTTAATGAACTTTTCCTAATTAAACTTTATAATATAATATATCAAAATCTCAAGTGGTTGAATATAAAATATTTAGTGAAAAATAAGAAAAATTATATATATATTTTATTTTCAATTGAAATTTCATTGATCCCTCCCAAAACTACCTATTTTTTGTGAACTTTTCCTAATTAGTATATACAATAAAATATATCAAAATTTCAAGTGTGGTT